ATTACAGTCTCATCATTATCCTTATTCTCATTCTTATGTTGGTAGCGGTGATGATGTGGATGATGATGCTGATGCTGATGCTGATGATGCTTATGACGATGATGATGGCGAGGATGATGATGGGGATGACGACGACGATGATGACGATGATGATGATGATGATGATGATGATGATGATGATGATGATGATGATGAGGTTTATGATGATGATGCTGCTGATGATGATGGAGATGAGGACGCGGATGCGGATGCTGCTGATGATGACGATGATCATGACAATGATGATGGTGATGATGATGCTGATGGTGATGATGCTGGTGATGATGATGATCAGGAGGAGGAGGAAGAGACGGGGGAGGAGGAGGAGGAGGAGGAGGATGGTGGTGGTGGTAGTGATGCTGCTGCTGCTGATGATGACGATGATGATCATGGTGATGATGCTAGTGGTGGTGCTGATGATGATGTTGCTGTTGTTCGTGTGCTTGTGGTGGTGGTGGTTTTGATGTTGATGCTGATGATGCTGATCGTGGTGATGATGGTGATGGTGGTGGTGATGATGATCAGGATGATGATGCTGCTGACGATGATGATGCTGCTGATCATGATAGTGGTGCTGATCAGGATGATAAGGATGATGATGATGCTGATAATGATGGTGATGCTGATGCTGCTAATGATCATGATTATCATGATTCTGATGGTGATGAGGATGGAGATGATGCTGATGGTGACGATGCTGATGTTGCCGATGATGACGATGATGCTGCTGCTGATGCTGGTGTTGATGACGTCGATGACGATGAGGATGACGAGGAGGAGGATGATGTTGGTGATGTTGATGATGACGATGATGATAATGATGACGATGATGATGATGATGACGACGATGCTGCTGCTGATGATGATGATGCTGGTGATGGAGATGATGATGATGGGGATGAGGATGCGGATGCGGATGCTGATTCTGATGATGACGATGATGAGGATCAGCGAGACTGCTGCTGCTGCTGATGCCGATGATGACGATGATGATGCTGCTGATGATGATGTTGATGACGTCGATGACGATGAGGATGACGAGGAGGATGATGGTGGTGATGTTGATGATGACGATGATGATAATGATGACGATGATGATGATGATGATGAGGATGATGATGATGACGAGGATGATGATGATGATGATGAGGATGATGATGATGACGACGATGCTGCTGCTGATGATGATGCTGGTGATGGTGATGATGATGATGGGGATGAGGATGCGGATGCGGATGCTGATTCTGATGATGATGATGAGGATCAGCGAGACTGCTGCTGCTGCTGCTGCTGCTGCTGATGATGATGATGATGATGATGATGATGATGATGATGATGATGATGATACTGATTATGATTATGCTGCTGCTGCTACTGCTGCTGCTGCTGCTGAGGATGCTGATGCTGATACTGCTGCTGATGATGATGACGATGATGATGTTACGGATTGTGAACGGCGATGCTGCTGCTGCTGAGGAGGAGGAGGAGGAGGAGGAGGAGGAGGAGGCGTAGGAGGAGGATGAATAGGGCGAGGAGGTGGGGGAAGGAAGAGAAGGAGAGGGAGGGGAGTGGGAGGGGCTGGAGAGAGGCGGGGGGGGCGGGAGGTTAGGTAGGTCGGTAGGTAGGTCAGTGGGTGGCTGGGTGGGTGGGTCGGTAAGTAAGTAGGTAGGCAGGTCTGAGGAGGAGGGCGAGGAGGGCGGGGAGGAAGAGGAGGATGAGGAGGAGGAGGCGGAGGAGGAGGAGGAGGAGAAGTAGGAGGAGGAGGAGGAGGAGGAGGAGGAGGAGGAGGAAGAGGAGGAGCAGCAGGAAGAATAATAGTTATAAGCAGAACCATAATAAGCATAATAAGAATACTAACAATAATAATGAACATAATAATACTAAGAACAATAAGAAGAGTAAGACAATTAATAAGAGGAAGACGACGAGTACTACTACGAATAATCTGAATAATAGTACGAAGAATAATTATACTGATAATGATATTAGTAATACGAATAATACTGATAATATGAATACTAAGACTAATAATATGAAGACGAATAATCAGAAGAAGAGCGATACTAATACTAATTAGAAGAAGAGGAGGAGGAAGAAGAAGAGGAGGGAAATGAGGAGGAGGAGTGGGTTAGCATGATGATTATGATGATGACGACGATGACGACGATGATGATGATGATGATGATGATGATGATGATGATGATGATGATGATGATGATGATGATGATGATGATGATGATGATGATGATGATGATGGTGATGATGATGATGATGATGATGATGATGATGATGATGATGAGGACGACGAAGATGGCGACGACGACGAGGGACCTGGATCGCGCGGGCCCCCCCGACGCAGGCTGCACCCAGCCTGCGGGCGTACCCGGTGTCTGGAGAGCAGCCGCTGCAGGCGGACGCCGCCAGCGCTGCCGCAGCAGCGGTGGGCCCTGGCGACCGCCAGGCCTCATGCGGGAGTCGATGGGGCGACGACGACGACGACGGTGACGGCGACGACGACGAGGACGGTGGCGGGGTGAGAGAGTTCGGGCTGGTGAATACTTGACGCCTGTTCCAGTGGATCTTAATGGCGACGGCGACCACTATGTCGTCGTAAACATCGCTGGGTGGGGCAAACTGAAGGCTTACATGAATGTGGGCTCCACGTTGGTAGAGGACGCCTCGCTGCTGGCAGGTGGGCTTGCCACCATTCAAGATACAGACCTTCTCTTCCCAGCCTTCGGGGACATCGATGGCGACGGGGACCCTGACGGCGAGTGCTGGATAGAGGGAAGGAGGAGGCCGCGACGAAATCTACACATACCCACTGCTCCCTGGCCAGGCCCTTCCTGGGTCCAGGAGCTGTGTGTACGCCATCCTGGCCAAGCCAGGAGGGCGTGCCATATACACCGCTGCCAGGCTGAGGAAAGGCCTGGCCAGGGAGCACGGGATATTCGTAGACTTCGGCGCTCTAGGAGGGTGGGAGGAGCGTGGGAGGGGAAGGTTCAAGCCACCGGGCGCGTTCCACTACTCGCAAAGTGCCTACTCGCAAACGTCCGAAAAAAACATGTTTGCCTGTGGTGTAACGGATCGTAGATCCCTCGCAGCGGAGCCAGGCCATTTGCGAGTAGTTACTTCGCGAGTAATGGAACGCGCTTGTCTATCAAGGGTGAGTGGGTTGATAGGCGCTTGTGGTGGGCTTCCATTTTTTCGGGGTGGTAGGGGGGCTCGTGGATTCCAGGGATCAGGGAGTACGAGAAGGAGTAGGAACAGGAGGATGAGGAGGATGAGGAGAAAGAGGAGGAAGAGGAGAATGAGGAGAAGGAGGAGGAATAGGAGGAGGAATAGGAGGAGGATGAGGAGGAGGAAATAGGAGGAGGAATAGGAATAGGAATATTTATGAATGGGAATAGGAATATGAGGAGGAGTATGAGGAGGAAGAGGAGGAGACGGAACACGCTCTCGGTGACCCCACGATGGCCTCAAGATGGTCAATCTTTTTGGGAAGAAGACAAAAGAAGGTAACGTCACGTCTCCTGCAGAGGAGGAGTCGGAGGAGGATTAATATGAAGGATGAGGGAAGGAGCGGCGGAGGCCGAGGAGGAGGAGGAGGAGGTAATAGGAGCATCACGTTGAGGACGCTGGCGATGACGATGACAATGACGACGACGATGACGATGATGCTGATGATGCCGATGATGATGATGACGATTATGATGAGGATGCTGATGATGATGACGATGCTGACGACGACGAACATGATGATGCTTATGATGATGCTGATGATGATGATGATGACGATGCCGACGATAATCATGATGATGCTGGTGCTGTTGCTACTGCTGATGATGGTGATGATGATGACGATGATAATTATGATGATGATTTACATTATTTCTATGGTTAACATCACGCATGATGATGATAATGATAGTGATGATGCCGACGCTGCTGCTGCTGCTGATGATGATGGTGGCGGTGGTGGTGGTGGTTGTGATGGTGGTGGTGGTGATCGTAATAATGATCATTTGAACGGTGATGCTGCTGATGATGATGCTGATGATGATGCTGCTGATCATGATGATCATTCTGATGGTGGTGCTGCTGCTGATGATGACGATGATGGCGATAATGATGATGCTGCTGATTTTGATGATGATGAGGATGGTGCCGATGCGGATGATGATGATGATGATGATGATGATGATGATGATGATGATGATGATGATGGTGATGATGGTGACGATTATGACGACGACGATGGTGATGATGACGGAGATGCAGATGATGATTCTGTTATTGATGACGATGCCCATGAGGGTGATGCTGACACTGATGCTGATGATGATGATGACGTTGATGATGATGCTGATGATGACGATGCTGATGCTGATGATGATGATGATGATGATGATGATGATGATGCTGATGATGATTATGCCGATGCTGCTGATGATGACGATGCTGATGATGCTGATGCTGATGATGACGCTGCTGATGCTGATCCTGATGCTGCTGTTGATGATGCTGATGATGATGATGATAATGATGATGCTGATCATGATGATGATGCTGATGATGCTGATGATGATAGTGATGCTGAGGAGGATGCTGATAATGACGATGATGATGATGATGATGATGATGATGATGATGATGATGATGATGAGGATGCTGATTATGATGATGATGATGATGATGATGATGATGATCATTATTATTTGTAGTACTATTAATAATTCTATGATCATTATCATTACCATTGTAATTTGTATTACATATTCCATTATCATCGTTATCCTGATTCTCGTTCTTATGCTGGTAACGATGATGATGTAGATGATGATGCTGCTGTTGCTGATGATGCTTATGACGATGATGATGGCGAGGATGATGATGGGGACGACGACGACGATGATGATGCTGAGATCTATGATGATGATGCTGAGGATGATGATGATGCTGATGATGATGATGCTGATGATGATGATGATGATGATGATGATGATGATGATGGGGATGAGGATGCGGATGCGCATGCTGATGATGATGACGATGACCATGACAATGATGAGGGTGATGACGATGCTGATGGTGATGCTGCTGGTGATGATGATGCGGAGGAGGAGGAAGAGGAGGAGGAGGAGGAGGATGGTGGTGGTGGTAGTGATGCTGCTGCTGATGAGGATGATGATGATCATGATGATGATGCTGGTGGCGGTGCTGATGATGATGATGCTGCTGTTGATCGTGTGCTTGCGGTGGTGGTGGTGGTGGTGGTTTTGATGTTGATGCACTATTGTTGATGACAGTGGTGATGATGGTGATTGTGGTGATGATGATGAACATGATGATGCTGCTGATGATGATGATGCTGCTGCTGATCATGATAGTGATGCTGATCAGGATGATAACGATGATGATGCTGCTGATGATGATGGTGATGATGCTGCTGCTAATGATCATCATGCTCATGATTCTGATGGTGCTGAGGATGAAGATGATGCTGATGATGACGATGATGATGCCGATGATGACGATGATGATGCTGCTGATGATGATATTGATGTCGTCGATGACGATGAGGATGACGTGGAGGAGGATGATGGTGGTGATGCTGATGATGATGATGATGATGATGATGATGATGGTGATGATGATGATGATGAGGATGATGATGATGATGACGACGATGCTGCTGCTGATGATGATGATGCTGGTGATGGTGATGATGATGATGGGGATGAGGATGCGGATGCGGATGCTGATTATGATGACGATGATGAGGATCAGCGAGACTGTTGCTGCTGCTGCTGCTGCTGATGCCGATGCTGATGATGATGATGATGATGCCGATGCTGATGCTGATGATGATGATGATGATGATGATGATGATGATGATGATGATGATTATGCTGATGCTGATGCTGACGATGCTGCTGATGCTGCTGCTGCTGCTGCTGATGCTGATGATGATGCTGCTGCTGCTGATGATGATGATGATGATGATGATGATGACGATGATGATGTTACGGATTATGAACGGCGATGCTGCTGCTGAGGAGGGGGAGGAGGAGGCGTAGGAGGAGGATTAATAGGGCGAGGAGGTGGGGGAAGGAAGAGAAGGAGAGGGAGGGGAGTGAGAGGGGCTGGAGAGAGGCTTGGGAGGCGGGAGGTTAGGTAGGTCGGTAGGTAGGTCAGTGGGTGGCTGGGTGGGTGGGTGGGTAGGTAAGTAAGTAGATAGGTAGGTAGGTCTGGGGAGGAGGGCGAGGATGGCGGGGAGGAAGAGGAGGAGGAGGAGGAGGACGAGGTGGAGGAGGAGGAGGAGGAGGAGGAGGAGGAGGAGGAGTAGCAGTAATAATAATAATGATAATAATAATAAGCACAATAATAAGCATAATAATAAGACGGAGAAACATAATAATAACAAGCATAAGAAGAGTAATAATACCAAGAATAATAATGATAATAATAGGCGAACAATAACAACTAATAATACGGTTACAATAAGACTAATAATATTAGTAATGGTAATACGAATAATAATGATAAGAGTAAGAAGAATGATCATACTAACAATAATAATAAGCATACTAACAATAAGAAGAATACGAGTAATCCATAATAGTAATACTACTTATGGTAATAATAGGAAGAGGAGGAGGACGAAGACGAGGAGGCCAAGGAGGAGGAGGAGGAGGAGGAGTGGGGTAGGAGGAGGAGGATGAGGAGGATGACGAGGAGGAGGATGAGGAGGAGGAGGAGGAGGAGGAGGAGGAGGAGGAGGACGAGCAGGAGGAGGAGGAAACTTAGGATATCACGTGTGCTGAGATCGCGTCTCCCCGCGACCGCTACTCTCTTCCCCTTCGTCCCCTCTTGCATCCGGTCAATTCGCAATGCCGTCACCCTGGTTGCCCGAGCGCGCGTGCGGACTGCCTGTGCCGCGCTGCGACGTCAAAAAGTGCTAAGATCACGTAAGACACTCCACATTCTTCTCTCCTGCGCGTCCTCAGTCTGTGGTGCCCACTCGCCTCACTTCTACCTCCCTGTGCTCTCCTTTTTAGCTTTCTCTCAGCTCCCCCTATTCCCTGGATCCTTCACCCCCGAGTCTGCATGCTGACCCGCCAGGTGGTGGTCGCAGAGGGCCTGGACAGGGACCCCGGCCGCGGAATGCGCTCTCGTGCGGGTGCTTCGTGCATGAGGCGAATGATGGCGACGTCCAGGGATGCAAAGAGCTGGCGCTCCCAATTCCGATCGGCCCCTGGGGTAAGGATTGACGTTGCCCCGCGAGGGGGTAGCATGGGAGGTGGGGCAGCGGGTAGGAGAGCACAGCGGCGAGGAGCGCGGGACCGCGCGCGCAGTGATGGCGGGGCTGTGCGTTTATGGTGCGTCCGATGGGGAGGGGGATGCGAAAGGGGGCAGTGGCAGGCAGGGAGGTCGAGGGGGGTCGGAGAAAGGGAGGTG